CTCCATTTTTGTAAGGCACGAGAATTTAGTTGCTAATGTGACCTGAGTGATTTCCAAGCATTCAATCTGATATTCTTTCCGATCTCATCCGCGGCTTTGGAATCGCGACTTTGCTTTTAACAGTGCAAGAATTTTACATTTCTATCATGAACATTGACGTTTAATAATAAAACATTGAAAACGAGCAATAGACAAATAGAAAAAAAATATTTCATTAACTTAACATATGTGAGATCGTAGAATGTATTTTAAAAATGTAAGAAGTATGGAAAGTCGCATATTAATTTTGAATCACTAGTAGTATAAGATAAAATAAAAATGGCATTCTTTTAAAATCATTCTTTTAAAATCGAGATTTATTCTTACTTATATGCTTATAAAAAATTAAGAGATATGTATTTACGCGCTACTAAATCTTCGAACATAAATATTTTTGTTACTAATTATCCCATTTTAAATCAAAATAGCCAAAAAATTTTAATGCATAATATAAATAAAATAATGAAATATTATTTCATCGATTATCCAGTATATTAATACCATATAAATTTGTATGACAATTAGTATTAATTTTTGAAGCTGAGTATATTTGATACAGACGCACTTGACCGATTTTTGCGTCTCTTGACCGACATAGTATCATCGGATCGAGGGATTAATACGTTCAAGCGTATGTATTTTTTTTTCCCTCGCGATTGCGTTCGATAGCTATCCATTAGAGCATCAGTGCATCTCGAAAAATCACAAACGTTTCATTCGCAGGACGCCGCTTGGAAAGCGACGTTTAGTATCGCGACTGTAACGTCAATTTAATTTCGCAGTTATTCAATATTCCCTTTTACGATTGTTCAGCCCTTCGGTGATGCAACATCAAGTTTCTCGAGTATTGATGCACGAAAGTTTTGCCCAGGGCGAGGACGTCGATCGAGTACCTATTCTCTTGTGATTTCTGTTAAAAATTCTTTCTTTTAATCAAATTTATCGTACCTTAAAAATTCTTGCATGTAAAAACTGATAATGCTAATTCATTGTATAATTTAATTGCGAACCGCAATATACATGTACATCTTTGTATGATTTTCGACCGAGGATGACGAAATCTATGGATAACATAGATTGGATTCTTAACCGACAATTTCATGCGAACTTTCAAAATTGTTCGTGTTTTATTTATAATCGGCATGCATTATTCAAGCACGAGTAAACAATGTAGCGATTGTAATTCGATTCCTGGCTTGTCGCGCGCAGTTAACTTCTGATTTGTGGCCTACAACTTTCGACGGAACATGATTGGATTCTGCGCGTTGATATAAATCGTAAATCCTAGAAACGAATTTTCGCAGTGGCGGATTCTCAATGGGTGAAAACTTCCCCCTTCGACTCGATAACTCGTTGACGATCGTTCCCCGATAAAGAAAAATCGCCCCCTCCCCCTCGCTTTCCCCCTCCCGTCAACTCGCCGCGAAGCTCCGGCTTTCTCGTCGAGTTTTACCGCTTATCCCCGCAATCGAAATTTTTACAAAGCACGCGCGATCACCTCTAAGCTCGCAATAGAACGTATCCGCCGAGTTTTCATCGATATTCCAAGCAAAACGGTGGTGTCTAAAAATTGTTCTGAAAATATCGGGTCGTTTAACGGCGGCGGCATTCTTATCACCGTCGAATCGGCTAAGCGTTGAGGACGTTAATTACTTACAAACGCCTGCGGAATCACGCGGTTTTTAATTATCATAGTTAACAACGTTTTGAGCAAGTTTCGTGTCGGAAATTTGATATACTGTACGCTTGAGGCCAAATGTGAATTATGGACGTACGAGGCCACACTCGTAGCACACACACACACATACACACACATAACGATCCTTTTCCTAAAACATTAAAAGTAATATAAAGTAAAATGTTTGTATAATATAATATGCGTATTTATCACATTTTTAAATTAATTATTTATTATATAACAATTAACTAGAATATCTTTCTTTGTTAATTAATTTCGAAACATTTTCGCGAAACTTTGCGTGTTGTAATTACTACGTTTTATTTTGAGAACAATGAAAGCTACACGTTTCTCTCTGCAATTAACGAAATAATATATATACACAACGTACATACGTATTATCGCGTTAACAACAAGAAACGATTTTGCTCGCCTAAGTAAATTTCTAAGTACACGGTCATCGTCGTTGATCTTAATAAAGCCCGAGGCTCCACGCGCATCCAAAATCCACACGCAGCCTCATGTACCCCCATCCCCAATTCTGTTTACATAGGCAGCCGGAGAACCTCCCTATATAGCTCCTATAGTTTCGGCAGTGCTGATAGCTCACCGAATATCCTACCTCCTTGGCGGGACGCAGAGTGCTTATGAAGCGCGGAGGAAGGTTCAGAATGTAAGAAAGCTGGTAGACAGGAGGATGTTAAGGACGTTGAGAAAAAAAAAACAACCAAAGAGATGCAGACCGACAGACAAGAAGACAAGGAAAAAGAGATAGAGGGAAACAGAAAGGATCATATGCTTTTATGCATTTGATCGAGCGAGCGAGCGAGAGAGAAAGAAAGACGGAAGAGGAGAGGGGGGAGAGACAGAGAGGAGGAGTAGAAGAAAAGGAGAAGAAGAAATAGAAGGCGAGAGAAAAACTGTTCCCTCCCTTCCCCCCTGGAACACTCCTTTGGAGCCAAAATATCCGTCGATGAAAATCGACGATGTGGCAAGTGTCTGAGGTGAACTGCAGCTCCATTTGATGTGCTGTAAGTTTTACGCGAGGCAATTTTTCCAGGAGAGACAGGGCGCGGCGAGACACCGGGGCGGCGAGTCGGGTCTCGCTATATAATGGCAGTTGGCTCCCTGTTATACTTCTGTCTCGTACAAAAAAGTTCAACGTGGAAAATTACACATGCGAATATGGGACACACGCTGTCACGTATGGGCGGGCCTCGACTGAAACGTTGAGCGGAATTGAGCGCAGTATAGGTCATGTTACATTTGATCGCGCGAATCTCTCTTTTCGAGTTTTCAATTTGCCGAAAGAGACGTAGAAAGCCCCGAGAGAAGATTGATTTGATTCCTGGAAGTGAATTTAACGTTCAGTTTAACGGCGCACAAATATTTGACGTGCAATTGCACGGCACTTGAAAATCGTCATAAAATTAAAAGAATACAGAATTCTGGTAAATTCTTATTGAGGGTGCATCTTTTTAGAATGCTCAGAGTGGCAGCATGCCACTTAATTCATAGGTACGTTCATTTTTTTTTTTTGTTAAAACTCAATTTACAGCCGTCTTTGTTAACACTGAATACGGCGTCAGATAAAAATTTGATTACATGACGAATATGGATTTAAAGGTTCATTATGACGGCCTTGCGACTGCTCTCGCGTAAAAATCAAGCAGAGTTCTAGAATGCATTTGTCAAAACGTTGGTTGTTTACCTATTTCTGCTTCGTTCAACGTGGCAGAAGAGGATGCCACGGGATCGCAGCGCGCCATTACTCTCGAAACTCCTAAGATCGTACGTAACTCCGCAAGATATAATAAATACGCTTTGCATATATTTACAAGCATGGAATTGCGGCTGCGACTGCGGCAATTTTGTGGAGACAGAAAGATTTCGGAAAATGATAAACTCTCGATTTCCGCGCACTACAGTATCAAACGTTATTTATTTTTTGTTTATTACTACTGGATTATAATGCGTAATTAATTCTCATTTTCTTACTTATTCCATTACCAGGGAAATTTGCTTTGCATTAGGGAAAAACTCACAGCGAAAGATAGAACGACACAAGTCATGCAACATACAAAAAAAAATAGTTTTCTCATGTCTATCGAGAAATTTGTTGAATTTCTCCCGAGATTTTACGTCAACATTTTCATGAAATTGTTACATACAAACTTCTGCTGTCCAATATATAGTTCCATTGAAATTTCTTGGAAGGATGCAATTTATATATATATATATATATATATATATACTTTTCATATATAAAAAAAAAATCGATGATGAGAAAGCAAGAAATCTTTTAATAGCTCAAATATAGGACGCTTCTTGTCGAACTCTTCAAGAAATAAGTGCTTTCAACGGGAAATCGAGAGTTTCATCATGCAATCGGTAACAGAGTCGTGCATTTCCTGCCTCATAAGCATTTATTTCCCGTCCCATCCTCATCGCGACGAACTTCGATCAGTCGAAGCCCACCATCGGACATCCCGCGACAAGTAGATGTGTTGTCACGGCGCAAGCGTCCGGACTGTTTTGTGTCGACTATACGAGAGACTCGCTTTTCCTTGCACAAACGAATTAGGCCAACCCTAATGGCGCGTGTTAGCGAGAAAATCGCATTTTCCCTGATCGCGAGGAACGCTCTGGCGGAGCGCCTCGAAGTCCTCCAGGCTCGGTGTGTCCATCGTCCCACACACATCGTTCGTTTCTTTCCCAGAAAGAGGACAGGCGGTAAATCCAGCATTGGCAGTCCTTCGGATTCTCTTCTCGAGGCAATTAGCACCGGGAGAGGAGGCACGTGCCCTCCTCTTTGTTCCCTCCCTCCCCTTCTTTTTTTTTTATACGCGCGACACATTTCCCTTACGCATCACAAGTGCATTAGAATTTCACGGATCACAAGAGCGCCGCGTCAGGCACACGTCGTCGGGATCCGCGCGGCCAACCCGCGTCGACCAATCCCGATGACCCGGGGGTCATCATAGGATCGAACCGCGAGCCGTCGTGGGACCAAACGCGACCCGCTGTCATCATGAACACCTGCACGCCACCGGCGCGCGGTGTATCGCCGCCGGGGCGCGTCGCGCCGTCGTGTCGCCGGCCCACGACGTCGCCGTCGTCGTCGCCGTCGCCGGGACGACGCTCGCCGCCGCGATCAGCAGCCGATCCGCCTCCGCGCCCAACTCGCTCCGACTGTTCGTCGAGGCAGGCCAGCTGGTGATCAACTCCCGCCAGCCGGGCACGCTGGTCAGGTAGGCTAGAAGGAGTAGTATGAGGCACCCACCTAGGCACCCGCTGCCTCCGGCTTCGAAGGCGGCACAGCCGCTCGTCTGGTTCTCCGTCGTTGGCCTCTGCACCTCCGGGTGTGACACCCGGTCCATCTTTCGGCTACCCGTCCACGGATCGCCCTCGGTGTCCACTGCGTTGTGCCGGACGTCCGTAGGCCCGTGGTTGTTCACCTCCTCCGGCACCACTGGCGGCAACGGCTTGTCCTTGTCCAGCTCGTCGTCCACCTCCACCGAGGTATCCGTGCCGAAGAATACAAGCTTCCACTCCTCCAGCGTGTCTAAAACAACGGCGTCAGCCACATTAGCGCGATTCGAGTAATAGCTATTTCATATCGAATGATTGTGCGAAATACTTCGCGAAAAGTGATCCATACGTAGATCTTGAAAGCATTAGGAACAGAAAGAAGTTGCAGGAAAGGATGTAGCATCTATATAAAAAAAAAGAAAAGAAGAAAATGATTGAAATGATTGTCAAAACTTATAATGCCAAAATTATTCTTCTGCAAAAACAATTCTCAAAAGATATTCTTTCTATTTAATATATATCTAAAAATTTTTCTGTCTCTAATATTCTTTAAATTATTGTAACCTTTGACAAACGTATAATATATGCGGTGACAATTATAAAATATAAAAACGCAAGCGTGTCAAAATTTTATCTTTGCTTTAAGCGAGGAACGGACTGAAAATAACAACGATGCCTCTCGTAGCAATTACGCAATAATAACAGCCTACTATTATTTTTACATTAAATACACACATGCAGATATGATTGTAATCAACTCTGGTAGATCTTACGTGGTATACGTACCGTGAATTCCTGAGAATTAGAAACGCAAGCTTGTAAACCTCGCAGCGCCATTTTCATGGGCGAGGTTCTGATAGAATGGAGCAAATTATATCGCAAAATGGTGCAAATTATCTCCGTATAATATAAAAATATTAATAACGTCGAATGCACTAATAATGTCGATTTAAAAATGTGCATTTTTTTTTAAAGACACAAACATTATGAAACAAATTAATAAGTCGATATAGAGCAGCATAATTTACTGGACGAATTTATTATCGATTTTTTTCATCTGTTGAACAACGTGCTTTTCACTTTTCCGCAAATTATCCCGCGACCTTGTCCGCAAGTATAACGTAAGATATTGCATTTCGTGGAGAGGTGAAGGCAGCAAAATGGAATGGTTTTGCAAGGTAGACGAGACGCGAGCGAGACAGCGGAAGAGGTGGCGGAGACGTCGACGGCGCCGTCCGGGAAATTAATAAAGCGTTGCGATGCCGTGGGGAAAATTTCGTTCTAAGCTCGCTCGCGGGAACAATGTCCCGCGATGGAAGGGCAACGCGCGCGCGCAGGGGGGAAGGGAGAAGGAAGGGTTTCGAGTCTTGATTAAATTAGAGTTAAAAATAACCGAGTAATCAGCGACGACTCTCCGCGCACATTTGCTCGGCGAAATGTGTATACGTCGGAATTAAATGCAAAGTGCTTTGCAACGAGAGAATGGTAAAAACTCCCGGACGATTATCGTTTTTATCCCGGGTAAGATATATCTGTGCCGAGTTTTCCTTACGCTGCGGGCAAGACGGAAAAGCCGGCTAAATGGGAGCTAATTTTAAATATCATGTCTTCCCAGCCACTATTAAGAGATTATTTGAGATTATTTGATACTCAGTCACTGCTTTTTGAATCACGATATTCGTGATTTACCTATTAAACATAAGAAATAAATTTAGAAGAATTGATTAGGAATAAAAACGTCGTGCTTCGTAATAAGTATAAATTTTAATTTTAACGTTTGAAATATTTTATTATTTCCTGCGCTCTCACGCATTTACGCGCGCGATGAAGTGTTCATTCTTTAAGGAAATAAATACTTTTCTAGACGTTAATATTGATTTACGTCTTGCTTACGTGTAGACAGCTTAGAAAAATTAAAATATATACACAGCTTCAAATGAAATCATAGTTCCGTGAAAAAAGTTAAACTTCGCAGGCAAGAGAGTCGTGACGTGGAAGACCAGAAATCAAAGCGGCGGAAAGGCGGATCCAATTTGTCGTGACGGGACTACTCTCGTGTGTGCTTTTTTTTGGTCGGCATCCGTAAACTACCCGATTGTCAGCTGTAATAAAGTCATCGTTAAAACGTCGCTGTTATGAGCGGCGCGAGGTAGGTGTTGTAAAGTGACAAGCGTCGGACAGCTTCTCGCTTTTATGAGAAGTATCGAGAAAATAACTTGCGAGGGTCGAGGGAGGAAATGAGCAAAGGAGGTAGGGACGCAAGAGGGGAGGAAGAACAAAAATGTCAAAAGTCGATCGGGACAGCATGGCAGACTATTCGTAAGACAATGGGAACGTAAGGGCATTGTGCTCGATGGGTCGTTAGCGCGCCACTATTTGAGGGAGAAGCGAGCCTCCGATAATAATGCCTTGAGAGCGGGAACCATTTTGCGGAGTAAGCGAGCGAAAAAAAATTTCCAATCATGGCGGAAATTATTTAGCAGCGAGGATTGATGGACGAGAGGAGTCCGCTCGGTCTCCACCATGATGGGATTCGCTCTCGCTCCCACTCGGCTTTTCCATTTCACAGCACGCATTAGTGGTTTTCAGTGCCGCCCCGCGTCGTCGCGTTTCACTGAATTTTGAGCGATTTGCGGTTACGCGGTGATCTAGAATTCGAGAATTCGGAAAGAAGATAACAAGCGCAACGCGCAATCATGAACAGCATTTGCGAGATTTACGGAAACTGCAGCGCTTGGTCGTCGCTCCGCTTTGAAGAAAATTATTTTCCCATTATTAAATGTCACATTGCTCGAATTATAAGACGGATAACGCAGCAAGATTATTCTGCAAAATCAACAAGATAGAAGAGACGAGAGATATTATTTATATATATAAAAATAATCTTTAAAACAATATTTTTTTGTATTTTTCTAAATTATTTTGATGACAAAAATTATAAAAACTATAAAAAAAATATAAAAATTTTAAATGGAATATCTAAGAATATAATAATTTTTAACTCTGCAAAATATTTTATTATATGTATATCACGTCTCAGGAGACGAGAAGTGGTGGAATGCACGGTTTTCTCGTGCAAAAGACAATGGTCTGCGTGCCGAGAGTATGAGGATAATAGGATACAAGGCGATACATGCTGGCAATACATTAGATAGCCGACGTATACAGATGCGCTCAAGGCTACATATGAAACTCATCGATAAACCAAGTCATTGAATGTTTTGATTGAAGGCCATAGCGCCCGTTACCGGCCTCAATAAGTTTTCCTATTATCGAACCTGCCGTTCACGCAAGAGGCTTCGATTGTAACAACAGGAAGAGAAGCGACGCAGGAAGTGTCAACATGACGGAAAACCCGGCACTTGGCACAAAGAGCGACAAAACTATATTCAAAATATTTATAAGTGTACTTATACTTTAGAGTTTGGTGGACGCGAGTTCGATGGCAAATAGCTTACAGAAGGAGGAACATTTTATAAACTTATATATAAATATGTAGTGTATTCGAGAGAACAATCTTCTTAAATAATTTAATTATACAGTACACAGAAAACTGGCAGTTTTTCTCATCGCGTGAAAACCATTGAGTGTGCACACGGAGAGAATTTCCTTTCAAAATTTATCCTGAAAATCATGTTCATCGTGGGAACAAATTTTACTGTGGATTACAATAAATTTGCTGTAGTATATACTAAAAAATATAGTATATACTAAAAAATATAGTATATATATATACTAAAACATATAGAAAATCACATAAAATTCGTCGAAATACTATGTTATCCTACGATTTTCAGGGAAAATTTTAAAATAAAATTCTCTCCGTGCCAGGAATACAGGCAAAATTTGTTTAGAATAACAAAATTGGTACATGTACAGTTCTATTCGTGCAAATTGATCATGCAAATACATATATAATTTACTCAACGAGACTTCACTTACGGTACTACCTAAATCCATCTAATGAGCTACGGGAGCTAAAGACATCGGTGTTCCGACAAAAAATGTTACAGACAAAATAAAGTTCTGCAGAAAACATCGAAGAACTCTCGTCTTCAGTTCGAGAAGTGAGACGCGAAAGAGAGTTCCGTCATACTTAGTAGAAAATACATAAGGATCACGTGAAACATTCTAAACATTCTAAACTCAAATTAAAAAAAAAAAAGAACCATGAATAATGCGAAATAAGCTTGTCTACGGTGCTGCATATTAATAGCCGGGGGATAATGTATCCATGTACAAACGAAAGTAACGGTGCGGTCGCAATCGGTGAAAGAGCCAAAACAAAAGGGAGAATGCGAAAACCAAATTCCAGCGGATCCGTTTAATCTTCGGGGCTTTGCGCCCGCGATGCATCTCTACTTTCCACGCGCTTCGCGCGGGTGCGCGGGCGGATGCGTGGAAGCGAATGGGAAACGATCGGAAGCTGCGAAACGACCTTCTTTGTTGTCCCGCGGTATAAAACACCGCCGCTGGGGACAATAGGGCAGATAGATTGACGTTATTAGTCACCGCGATTATCTGTGCGCGCGACACTACATTTTTCCATAGGCATGTTTAATCAACCGCAGATTATTATATTGAGATTATGTCGACGGACTGGTACTTCTAATTTTTTTAATTATCCCATTTTTTCGATAATCCAATATATATATATAGATGAAAGAACTTACGTTACTTTAGTAAAATAGTACTTAAAATGACAAAAATCTCTTAATTAATTGCGTGAAAACGGTCACGAGAAGTGCCTCGTATCTTACTGCACTCGCAATTAGATTTCATTTCAATATTTAATTTAATTCAATTAAAATTAGCTGACTTTGTAAGAATTTAATTAAATTGACGATATTTTCACACGTAAATACAATATAGCCTCCGATCGTCGCCATTAAACTACCGGCGCATCTCGCCGTTTCTGAAACAGTTAGATACCCTTGTCCAGTTGCAAGTTCCTTGGATCAAATTGTTCGTCCTGCAGCAGGTCAAGTCCTTTGGCCCTAGTAGCGTGCTGACCGACGCCGCGGGCCCCACCGTAAACCGGATAGAGCTGTTGTATCTTGGGATATTGTTGAAATACCGCCGGGACCTTGTTAGTGGCCGCCTTTGCCGGTGGCTCCAACAGGATCAGTCCCCTCTGAATGGGCAAGGCGGTAACCACGTCGATGATCTTCTGTGTAATAATCTGTTTACTTGTCGCCGTGCTGCTCTGCGCCTTTGTCGTCGCGACGGTCACGGTGCTGGTAACCGGGCTGGGTGTGCTCCTACCGCGCGGCCTCGACGTGATCAAACGCACGTCACCGGCCACGTTGTTGGGCCCCCTATTGATCCCGGTGAGACCGCGGAGGGTCTGAACGGTGGGCTTGGGATTCGGCCGGCCGGCCGACTTGCCGTTCTTATGCTGGCCGCGAGCCTTGCCCTTCCTCTGCGACTGTATCTGCGCGTTCATCACGTAGGGCGGGCTCAGGCTGCCGGACTTGTCGGGCTTGTGCTGCGCCTGCTTGCCCTTCGCCACGGTGTTCTGATTCTTCGGGATGGTCTCGCGCGGCTTGACGAACGGCCGTCTCGGTATACTCATGCCGGCCGGATTGTAAAGGGCGTACTCGGTCCGGTCGGGCAGCGTCGCGGTGCCGTAGAATATCAACGCCCATTCGTGCAGAGTGGCGCGTCCTGATCCGGTATGCGTCCGTGAATGCAGCGAAAAGAAAGCGGATGATCATGGTTACAAAAGAGGGCGACGAGGGGGGAGGGGGGGGGAGGAGAGTACAGCGCGACGCTTGCCGGCGTGTCGAACAACGCGCGATAACGCATACTATCTCCATTTACTTGACACTATATGTATAGTCGACACAAGTGCCAGTTCTGTCTTTGTTATATACTTATATTGAATGCCAAGAATGATAGAATGACGTTTGTGGTCGACTCGTGTCACCAAACGGGAGGCACACAATAATGATGCGGATACATCGAAAATTAGCCCCCGGGGTTAAACATCGATCGGAAGTTCGTTCATTAAATCGTCGGTACAGTTTGATGGAGTTGTAACGCGCGTTATCCTCGGCGGGCGTCTTGAAGGAAGTTAACGGGAACGTTTGAGAATTAACAAGAGTATCCCTCTTGGAGGTCCCCCGTTCTCGATGCTACGTAATATAAGCACCTCGCGTTTCAGGGAGACGCTACAATATACGTCCGCAGAATACTCGCGGCAGTATAAACACCGGGATGGTTTAGCGGTGTTTCGAATATATAACCCCTTCCCCATTCCCCCCCCC